CTACGCCTTTTTTCCCTAAGTGATTTCATGTTGAAACGATGCCTCTCCAAAGGCAAGTACAGCCAAGAAGCTTGTGAAGGCAAGGAGATTCCGCCTATTTCCAGCTAGATGCCGACTAGAAGGACAATACCCATGTCAAGACAACTTTACAAAGAGAACATGTAGCACAATCGGAAATTAAGCAGCTGACAGATTTAATTTCTGAAATCCTGGTCCACAGATAGAACCAGAAACATCAGGGTACCTGCTTGTCTGCTCTTTCAAACTAGAGAAAAAAGGCAATTTAATCAGAGACTGAAAGAAGCCTCTGAAGCAATTAAAAAAAAAAAAGATTAAATGAGGAAAACTACTCGGACCAGATGTATTATTAGGCTCTTATTACAAATGCTTTGAAGATGAACTTTTACAACCTCTCCAAAATATGATGAACTCTTATCTTAAAGGTAAAGGTTTCCCTCGCACATGCGTGCTAGTCATTCCCGACTCTAGGGGGCGGTGCTCATCTCCGTTTCAAAGCCGAAGACCCTGCGCTGTCCGAAGACGTCTCCGTGGTCATGTGGCCAGCATGACTAAACGCTGAAGGCGCACAGAACGCTGTTACCTTCCCACCAAAGGTGGTTCCTATTTTTCTACTTGCATTTTTTATGTGCTTTCGAACTGCTAGGTTGGCAGAAGCTGGGACAAGTAACGGGAGCTCACTCTGTTGCACAACGCTAGGGATTCGAACCGCCGAACTGCCGACCATTCTGATCGACAAGCTCAGCGTCTTAGCCACTGAGCCACCTCCTCGCTTACTCTTATCTTAGGAGATAAAAGCCAAAGTTCTAGAAAAAGGCTAACATACTGTAGCATTAATACTGAAAGAAGGACAAGATTTAACTTACATAAAAACCTATATAGGTAGTCCTCAACTGTCAACCATAATGAAGCCTGTCCACCATAGTTGTAAATTGTGATTGCTACAAAACAAATACGTCATGTGACAGGTCCAATTTTTTTGACCTTTTCTGCAGTGGTTATTGACCAAACCCACATTTGTTAAGCAAATGCTGTAGTCGTTAAAGCCAAACTAATGGTTTGATATGAGTCTGATTTAGTCAAAAACCAGAAGTGCCGATTTTCAGAGAAACTGTCATAAAACATGGTTATATGACTGTGGGATGCTGAAAATGGCCATAAATGTTGCCAAAAACTCCAGATTAATGCCAGCATTAATGTTTTAAGAGGTGAGAAAGCCTTTGACAATGTGAATTGGTCCTTTATGTTTAAAGTTTTAGAAGATCAGAATTTCGGAGAGCATTTTATAAAATGGGTAAAATTGACTTATATCTCACAGAAGCAAAAAATAATAGTAAATCAAGATTTAACAAAACTTTATAGGATACTAAAGGAACAAGACAAGACTGCCCATCATTCCTCCTTTTCTTTATTTTGGTTCTTGAAGTATTGAATAGAGATACACAGCCAACGGAGCAGGTAATGGGTGTAAAAAAAACCTGAGTTGGAGCTTCTGCAAACCATCTGACACAGGTTCTCAAAGGGATCTAAAACATTAATGAGAAATTAAAAGAATTTGGTGCTTTAGCTGTTTTTAAGAGTAATAAACAGAAGACAAAAGATACTGGCAAAAAATATAAAGTCAAACAGAATTGATCAAGAAAACGTGTTTGAAGATTGAGAAAAGGTTAAAACATTTGGGTATTAATTTGGCAAATACTGTATGAGTTGCACGTTGTTTCAAAATAATCATGTTACAACGTAGAATGTAGTTAAAAAGGTATGTCAGGATGGGGAAAATTACAAATGTCACTGCCGGGGAGAATTTCTATGATTAACAATTTACCTATAATGCTTTTTTAAAAAAGATAATACTGTTTTGACAACTGATCTACTATTTAGTGACAGAAAGACGTATCTAAATTTGTGTGGCAAGCTAAAAACCATTAGATATAAGGTGTTACAGGATGCTAAAGAAAGAAGAGGCTTAATTTTACCTGATTTGAAATTGCATTTTGCAGCTTGTTGTTTAGTTTGGATGAAAGAGTGGGTGATATTGAGAAACAGGTGGTTACTGGATGGGCATGATTTGAGTTTTGAGTTGTGTAGCTACTTATGGGATGATAAAGTTGATGTAAGTTAAGGTTAATGTAGATTTCAAAAATCATTTTAGTTAGACATGTCATATGAAGAATATGGAACAGATACAAACTTAAGTTTTGTTCAAAAATAACTTTATGGTTTCACCACAAGAAGCATATTATAGAGTCACTGGTTGTTTTCTTGCAGACATTTCATTATCTAGCATGATCCTTAGCACTGGAAATGTTACCTAGTTGGATAATGAAATGTCAACAAGCAAATAATCAAGTTTAGAGAGCAATAAGGAGCCCACAGTTCAATCCTGAACTACAAATATTATCTTCTATAGATGCATAGAAGAGAAATAATAATTAAGCATCATTGGTTAATCTATGGTGATCATATGAATTTTTCCATGGGGAAATCAAGACACAATTTGCTATCAGAAGGATTCATATGTCAAAAGTGTCCATTAGAACAATCCAAAGTATGTAAAAGAACTTTTGGTTTTGAATATGGCAAGACAGAATTTGAAACAGAATTATTTACAAAGGGTGAACACTTTATTGCTAAAATGTATGAATTCTTACTGAAACCCGAAACAGAAGATGAACAATAGTCTGTGGAGATCAGTGGTGGGTTTCAAAATTTTTAGAACCTCTTCTGTAGATGTGGCCTGCTTTGTGGGAGTGGCTTGCAGCCATGTGACTAGGTGGGCATGGCGAACTTGTAAAATGTGGTGAAACTCACTTAACAACGCTCTTGCTTAGCAACCAAAATGTTGGCTCAGAAACTCTGGCATTTGAAGCACGCAAGTCTTAAAGCTGTCAAGTTACAAGACCCTTGCACCCTTAACCCTTTAGAAAAAAACCCCAGGGGTGTTCAAACTTGACATCTTTAAGACTTGTGGACTTCAACTCCCAGAATTCCTCATCTTGCTCTTCATCTTGCTGATGTGTGGATGGGCAGGGGGAGGGAGCTGGAACCGGTTCTAAACGGCACTGTAGATTTGTGGAACCTCTTCTATAGAAGAGGTTAGAACTGGCAGGAACCCACCCCTGGTGAAGATCCTCAGTCATCCAGGTCATGGTTGTCCCAAAGGTGCTTTTTCAAAAGGCAACTGGACTTTCTGGTTTTTCTTTGAAGATATTTAAATTCTCATGGGGAATAGAAAGACTTATATTGGATTCCCCACCATCCAGTCAGAGCTGAACGGATTCCCTACCATCCAGTCAGAGCTGAAGAAGCTTCTTGGATGAGAAGCGAAACATCTTCAAAGAAAAACCAGAAAGTCCAGTTGCCTCATGAAAAAGCACCTTTGAGAGAAGATGAAAGAACGTATGATAAAATGGACTAAAACGTAATATACAAATAGATCAGTGGGAGAATATGTGGATGAAACAAATGACGTTCACATTGTGCTGTAATCTTAAAGAACATCTCATAAAGTGATGTATTGTTGATATTTGTCACCAAAAAATAGTCTAAAACTTACGAAGATACCTCATATGAATGCTGGAAATGTGAACAAGAGGGGACTTGTAAAAAAATAGACATGTAAAAAAGCTTTAAAAAAATTGGATTCAAATACATTCATTCATTCAGAAGACCTTAAAGATCTTAAAACATCTGAAACCAGAGATATTCCTTTTGGGACTGATGGGCAAATATTTGGGGGGAAAAACGCATGGAACTTTATTTTTACCTATGATAGCAGCAAGACGTTTATATGCACACAATGATCGAAAGATTTGACATCACTTACAATGGGGAAAACCTGATGGCGAAGTTGATAGGAGCTGTATGATTAGAGAATAATGCTGATTGGAAACCCCCTTTGGGACTTTTGGCATGAAATAGGAAAAAAACGAGAATGGATTTGATTAGATAAAATGGTAGTTCAAGTAGCTCTCAAACCTCCTCACCATGAACCCCCTGTAACAGAGGTGGTATTCAGCAGGTTCTGATCAGTTTTGGAGAACCGGTAACGGAACTTTTGAGTAGTTCGGAGAACCAGTAAATACCACCTCTGACTGCCCCTGTCCCCATCTATTCTCTGCCTCCCAAGTCTCCGCTGATCAGGAGGGAATGGGGATTTTGCAGTAACCTTTACTTGGAGTGGGGAGGGAGTGGAGATTTTACAGTATCCTTCTCCTGCCACGCCCACCAAACTACGCCCACCAAGCCATGCTCACAGAACTGGTAGTAAAAGATTTTGAATCCCACCACTGTTGTGGCCACGGAACCCCAAGACTTAACTCAAGACTTAAATCATAACATTTCTTTAAGCCTTCACGGAACCCCCCTGTCTTGCCCCCCCTCCATTGGTCTGTGGACCACAGGTTGAGAACCACTGTAGTAGATCATAAAGTAACAACAGCTGTGTTACAAAGACTTTAATGTAAATTTATATTCACAACTGCTGCAAAGAAAAGCCAGAATCAATCCTTGGCATTTGCTTGTCTTCCTTTTTTCTTTCTGCACTTTTGGCTTTGTGATTTTTTTTCATTCTTTACCTGTTTCTTTCTTCTACTTTAATTACTACCAGTGTTTATCTCTATATCTGTAACCTCTAATAAAATTATCTTTTAAAAAAAGGCAACTCGGTCATCCGAATGGCTTCTCTCATTCATCAACAGCTCAAAGGCATTGAGGTTTTCTGACAGATTCCAAAAGCAAGGAGCACCAATGGTGTAAAAAAAAACCCCACAAATCATTTGTCTGTCTGCATAGAAGAGGAATCTGCAAGACTCCTAGAGAAAAGTTCATTACCGTATTTTTCAGAGTATAAGACGCACCTGAATATGAGACACACCTTAGTTTTGGGGGAGGAAAATAAGAAAAAAAAACATTCTGCCTCTGCCTACCAACATCCATGGTATTCATCTGGCTAGCGTCCTGTCAGCGTGTGAGAGAGTTGAGGGCTGTTTGGAAACAAACAGTATTTGCTGTGTTAGCAACAAGGAAGGAGGCAGAAGGAGCCTGGCCGTGGCTTGTTCTGTACTAAAGCTGCATGCTGTGCTGATATCTGAAACTAAAACTGAAAGTGAAACTTCTCCGCTGAACTACCACTTGCAAAACCTGCTTTTGGGATTGTATATTTGCTTAATGTGTTATTAATATATATATAAAGAGAAGTTACTGAATCCTGCTGAATCAGTTGCTTGTGAGTGCTTTCTGAATGTGATTGCTGCTGCGAACTCTGACACGTCCTTGCAGCAAATAGCGAACGGCCAGGTCAGTTTCAGCACATTATTGAAACCTGATTCAGCATGAGCAGCTGATTGGAGGGTGGACCAGTCTCCCGGAATACCTCCAATCAGCTACTCCAGGCCGCAGGGATTGCCACACACCATCGCCTCCTCTGTGCCTTGCGTTTTTGGCTATATTCGGTGTATAAGAAGCACCCAAATTTTCACTCTCTTTTAGGGAGGGGAAAAGTACGTTTTATACTCTGAAAAATACGGTATGTCCTGACTTGGGCCCTCAACCACCAGGCGCTTCTGCAAAATGACTTTGAGGCAGCATTTATGTTCAAGGTACACCCTTTTATTATGTTTTAAAGACTTTTGAGGAAAACGGGCTAAACTGCGGTCTAATTTCCCTTCAGCATTATATAGAGAATGGGGAAGCTGACAGCCAGCAGGGTACAGGTGAAGGCTGTACTGTAGATGGAGTTCTTCCTCATTTGGGCTTCCAACCTCTTTTCGGTGTTGCACAATTCGAGAACCACCTCTTCTGCCTCTAAAGGCTGGCTTTTGGCCTCTGAGGGAAAGCTAAGCAATCCCCTTTCCTCAGGTACGGACTGAGGTACGACTTTAATGTTCTGTACTTCACGGACCATCTGCCCTAATTTTTTTTCCAAATCACAAAGCTGCTCCTGCAAGCTGCCGAGGAACAAGCTGATTTGTTTAGAGTAGGCCAGCTGCTCCCTCACAGAAACCAAGACAGGGTCTATTTTTAGTGAGGCGCTCGATCTGTCTTTGGCCAAGGAAGCCCCTTCCCCTTCCTGCGACGTCGTCACCGTTGCAAGTTGCAGGATGTTCTTCAGACTGGCAATGAGGTCACCGAGATCCTGTTTTTGGGAGTGATAGGAGGTGGCTTGATCCCGGATGGCTTCCTGAAGGTTCGCAGGGCCCTTCTGGGCCTCGAAAACTAAGGCTTTTAATTCTTGCAACCTAACTCGGTTGATGTAAGTGGAGCCCAGGACCCCAATCACGGCCCCCAACACGGAGCCAATAATGGACCAGTTCTTTGTCTTCTCAGCTCTCGTTCTCTCTTTTTCGTGACTTTCCCGCACAGCGGCAGAGAAGAGAGAGAAGGCTTCCCTCTCAGATTCCTCGGCTGTTAGGTGGTTGATCCGGTACCTTTTCTCTTCCTGTAAGAAAGCCAACAGGTCTTATGAAAAGCCATCACCCCTCACCGCAAGTCGTTAAAAGCCTGAAGAAGCAAAGTAAAAGAAACTCAATGCGTCAGACGAGAACGGAATGAAGTTGGCCCCGTTTTACCACTCCCAGCTCACGTGCCTGTTTCAAGTATTTGCTAAAGTATTTAATATCAAGTATTTGATATTTGGAGGTGGGAATGAAATATCTCACTTGCTAGTTTCTGCAGGTTAAGCTTTTGAGAAACACACAAGTGGGACCATTCGGGGGCTTTTTGGGTTTAACCTATAAGACATGCTGATCTGCCTGCAGATTTGCTGTCAGGGGTCCATCAGCATACAATCTTGGCTTAAAACTTTAAAGTAATACTGTGGTTTTACAGGTAGTCCTCAAATTACCACGGCAACTCAGTCTGGAATGTATGTTGCTAAGCGATGCAGTTGTCAGGGAAAGCGCACGGGGGGGGGGNCCGTTTCAAAGCTGAAGAGCCAGCACTGTCCGAAGACGTCTCCGTGGTCATTTGGCTGGCATGACTCAATCCCGGAGGCGCACACAACGCTGTTACCTTCCCAGCAAAGGTGGTCACTGTTTTTCTACTTGCATTTTTTTACATTCTTTCTAACTGCTAGGTTGGCAGAAGCTGGGTCAAGTAACGGGAGCTCGCTCCGTTACGTGGCGCTAGGGATTCGAACTGCTGAATTGCTGACCTTTCTGATGGACAAGCTCACCATCTTAGCCACTGAGCCACCACGCCCCTGGCATTAAATGTAGAGAAGCCCATGTAAAGGAAAATAAAATGCTGGCTTTAAAGTGGTTTTAGGAATTAAGTGTCCCCCAAGGATACAGCCATCATCTTCATGGATGTTCAGGACAGTGCATATTACAGGTAGTCCTCAACCTAGAATACCAATAGCAGTAGCACTTAAGACTTAGTACCTATCGCTTCACAGTGCTTTCCAGCACTCTTCAAGTGGTTAACAGAACCATCATCATATTGCCCCCAACAATCTGGGTTCTCATTTTACAGACTTCAAGATTGAAGGCTGAGTCAATCTTGAGCCAGTCAGGATCGAACTGCTGGCAGTCGGCAGAATTAACCAGGAAGACTGCATTCTAACCATTGCGCCCCCACGGCTCTTTCCATTCATTTAGTGACCATTCAAAGGTACAAAAGCACTGGACAAAAGTGACATAGGACCCAATTTTTCACACTTACGACTGTTGCAGCATTCCCATGGTCATTGTTGAAAATTTGGATGCATGTGTTTATGATGGTTTCAGTGTCCAGGGGTCATGTGATCATTTGCCTTTTGTGGCCTTCTGATGAGCGAAATCCCTGGGGAAGCCAGATTCCCCTTAACAGCCGTGTTACTAACTTGAACAGCTGCAGCGATTCAGTGAAGAACTGTGCCAAGATAGGTCGTAAATAGGGGCAAAACTCACTTGACACCTGTCTTGCTTAGCAACAGAAATGTTGGGCTCATTTGTGTAAGTCGAGGACTACCTATAAAGTAAGGGAAAGGAAAAAGGAAAACAGCCTGAAGCTCTATCCTGCACAGAAAAAGACTCAGAATGGGAATAAGATAAGATAAGATAAGATAAGATAAGATAAGATAAGATAAGATAAGATAAGATAATTTATTTGTATGCTGCCCTT